ATCCAACCAATCGCATTTCACTGGGAACCCCACCATTTGAATGGCGCTTCAGCCGTCCCACGTTACCGATTGGATCGGGTCTATTAAAACCCCGTCCATCATCAAGTCAATCGCAGAAGCAATCTGTTCGCATCTTGTAGAATCAAGTCATAGAATGAACCTTAACGGGGCACTTCGTCACCTTCGTCATCCAGATTGTGAATAATAGCCTAAGGAGTGAAACCCACACCCAAGAACATCAAGAGTGCCTGATGTTAGTCAGTTCATTTGGCCCGACGGCAACGAAAGGAGACACAAGTGCAACCCGTTAACTCCAATCGAAAGCCTCTCACCAAGTCAGAACTTCCATGCAGGTTACGGGCTGACTTGCCACACCTACAAGGCTAGATTGATTTTCGTATTTAACTCACAGTTACTTGTGAGTAGTGTGTGTGATGGTGGTGTGGTCAGTGACCCGTCACCTGCATGGAAATTCTAACTTGGTGCGGGCTTTCGATTGGAGTTAATAGGTTTTACCTTTGTCTCCCTTTGTTGCTGTTGGGCAAATGAACTGACTGACTATCATTGAAGACAACACTTGAACCAACATGAGTTGACAATGTGGTTCAGTCATGGCATGACTTGGTTGGCACAGTGGTAACACACGCCTTCCATGCGATGGGTCAGGAATTCAAATCCGGGAGGGGACGATGAATGTGCACCACTGGTGAGCTCTAATGAGAGCGAAACTCGAGTCTAATGCTTCCAAGTGTGTAGTTGAATCGATGAACTGAGGGTTGTGTGTGAAGGTGAAGTCCGAAGGATAGTCAGTTCAAATCAATCCTACACACACTACTCACAAGTAACTGTGAGATAAATACGAAAATCAATTCATATTCACATACCTCCCCTCCCCCGGTATGTGTCCAAAGGCAGCGTGTGAAGTCGTTTGGATCATGGCGTCTATTTGTTTACCCCATTGTAAAAAGTACATCCCAATTGTTACCACATTCCTACTTTACTCTATACCTTACCAAACTGTTTATCTATTGACCAGTGAACGGAAATCATTGTAACCAAATGTCGTTTCTGTTTCCTTCGAACAGATAAATTCGATCATATCCAAACAAATAAACTCCACCTCAATAATAATAATAATAATAATAATAATAATAATAATACCTAGTACACAATTTTTATTCTGAGTTGTACGTATTATTTTTTTCTTTCAGGAATCAACACTATACGAAGACCGTCTTCTGCTGAAAAGAAACAAAAACCAGCTGGGTTAGTTACGAATAGAATAGCGACACCGGTTGATGCATCGAGATTCACAGTTAACGTTACACAAGGTCATGTATTATCATTATTATTAGCGTTATTGTTGTTGTTGTCCAGTTTGTCCTTACCATAACCGTCATTGGACCGAATCAGATTGCGATCTGTTCTGGCAAGATCACTGAAATTCTTGATCGAGCATCATCAACAACAACAACCATGGGAACATGTGACATACGCATAATTAAGCCACAGACCCACTACGTGTATGCATGTGTGCAAAATAGACCGTTCCGAAAGCGTAAAGTGTGACATTTTTGTTGCCGTTCTCTCGTTCGTTCGCCCTCTTGTCACACACGTGGAACCGACTGACTGTGTTGCAGTTCGGATTTTCTCGTTCAAGCATAGGTAATCCGAATAGAGTAACTCGCATGGTGGAATAAAAAACACTCGGATCACGTGATACATTGGTTCGTACCAAGTGTATTTAAAATGAGACCAAACGGACCGATGCGCAGAAATACATCACAATTCGAACTGGGATCTCTCTCACACACTTGTTATTGAGTACAGTTTCTGTGTCACACATGTGACTTGCTGTTGATTGGTTAGATTGTGTGATGGCGAAACATGGCAAAAAAGGTGTGGGTATGCGCGGGTGGGAATGGGTTTTGGAAGTCGCGTGATTTCTTTCAAGGTATAGCTTCAATGTCCAGGGTTGCATCAGTTAACACAATCTGACTTGGGGATCAGAATTCTCGTCAGAATAGCATTCTATAGTTGTTTTACTTGTATATCACTCACGGAATTCCTTCCGAATAAAGTACGCAGCGACGAAATATGATAAAAACCAGACGCGCTCGATCTGACCGTATGTAGTACGGAGCGCACAGCTGCCACATTANATATATATATATATATATATATATATATATATATATATATATATATAACACCAATCTTTACAGATACGCCTTTTGTGATAAGGCTCGGTCACGTATTGCGTATACATACTCATCGGCTACCCTTCCGTGGTCATTTTGCAAGTGTCGGGCAAGGTAGTCAGACCATGACATGGCGTAGAGATCGGAATAAACAGGGTTTCATATTTGGCTTCGGTTAGTGCAGCCTGCATTCTAGTCTGGGCCCCAAGGGATGACGATGGTCGTTGATTAGAGAGGTTGAGAGAGATAAGGCACAGGATAGAAGTCAGTGACACGAATGCTGTACGGTCTGCCTGTTGAAATCCCGTGCCCCATGAAGAAATGATAAACTAACGCACACAAAAAATATCAAAATTATACGGTGAACCAAAAATTATTCTTCTCGTTTTTCAACTTAACCATCTGACCCCATTTTACACTGCCTTGTATCTCAACCAACCCGCCCTCCTCCAACATATTCTGTTATTCTTATTGTTGCGTTGGCACCAAGCTTGCTCGTAATAATAATAATTAGGTAATCACATAGTAATTGTTACCAGCATCAAGAGAATTTATCGTGTGAGGTGGATAGCATGTTTGGTTGCACAGCAAAAGACTCTGTGTGGCACGATCACAATTGAAATGGCCACGTTCTGTGTGATGAGCCACAATGTGAATGTGTATCGTCAGTTTTCTAATCGAAACACGTTTTTTGTCACGATTTGTGCGCAATTCGTCTGACTGCAAGACAATATTGATGAATCGATCACAGGGTTTTTGCAAACCTTGATCGGGTAGTCTAGACAATGTTGTACATTTCAAATTTGACGGCATTCAGTTGCCGTACGATGGTTGAGCCAGTTGATAGTCTACCTGCCTACGCGGTAGCGTGCTGCTTGCTCCCAGGTCTACGGACCGGCTATGTTTACGTGTGTCCACTAGAAATACAATAACGACTAAATTTACCGCTTACGGATTGACTTGCATCCACGGGTCGCAGCAAGCTCCAAATCCATCTATTCGTTGAAATGAATCTGTGGTTTGAGATACATTGAGATGACAGAAGGACAAACATCAATCACAGTGGGCGAGCACATATTCGAATAATCTGGGTGGTCGCAGTCACTAAACAGACCGGCGAGTCATTAGAAGAACTTCGACTCTAAGATTTCTGCGATTGTTCAATAACACAATTGCGGATTCGGAAAACAGTTGAAACTCAACTGGTA